AAATGTCTGTCCTTCGATTACAGGACATCAATAGTCAATTGTAATTTAAAGACGAGAAAATCAAGTGAAGGAGCGCCATGGGCAACGTGTGTAGTTCCGGCCAAAAGAAAAAGAAGGACAAGGACAGTGGCTCCGAGAAGTCCGACGAGTGAGTGATTGGATACTTAAAGAAAACCACTTCCTTTACTACAACTGATTTCGTTGTGATTGTAGCTCACCTCCATACCAGGAAGCGGACAAGAAGGACCTGATCTCCTCCGAGTCCAATGCCGGCGACGAGAAGCGCGCTCCCCTAGCGGCTGTTGAGGCGTTACCGGATGTGACTCCTTTGCCGGAGGCCAATGGCAATCAGCTGCAGGACCAACAAAACCATCAGCCACCGACAGCCCTGGGAAAGGCCAACGGAGCAGAAAAGGGTGAGTAACTATACAGGATGTACTGTAAAATCTTGGGAATTTCGTAGTACAAAGGAATCAGCTCCTTGTTCGTCCTTTTTTTTTAATATTTGATATAATTCTTCCAACAGACTCGAATACCACCACACCGCAGGGGGCGCAGGCGCCCAGTGATGTGGCCAATGCCAATCCCGCGGCCGGGAACTTGAGCGTGCTGCAGGGCAAGCCGCCACCTGGCCGCAAGATCGAGCGGGACAAGAAGATCGTGGTGTACATCCTGGCCGACAACAGCACCGAATACAAGAAGCACAAGCGCGTTGTCCATAGTTTGTACAAACACTTCAAGAGCAAGTGCCAAAGCCGGGGCTTCGACTTCATCATCGCCGATGTCCATGACAGCGAGCCCGAGACAGAGCCAGGAAATGGCAACGCCAAGAAGGACTTTTCCCGCCTGCAGGAGGTAAAGCGTTGGACCCAGACGCCGCTGGAGGCGCAGGGGGGGCACGAGGAGGCGGCCAACTGTCTGAGCGAGATCACACGACACTCAGCCGGTGCTTACATCGTGCCCGTGCTGTTTCTGGGCGCCACACTGGGCACTCCGATGCTGCCTCTGACCATCGAGAGCCAGGACTTCACCTCCGTGCTGGGCACCGCCAGCGAGACAGAGCGTCTGTTGCTGGAGAAGTGGTACACCATCGACAACTCGTACCAGCCAATGTGCCACCGCCTCCACGCTCAGCAGGTGGACCCATACTCCGGCCAGGCGAACGGTGAGCTGAATGAGCTCCTAGCTGTGCTGCTGCGCCTCTTCTCCGAGGACGTTAAGGATTCCTATCTGACCACTGTGGTGGAGCAGGAGATCAACAACACCGTGCTGATGAGCCAGGAGCTGGCCAAGCGCTGCATCTGGATCCAGACTGGACAGGTGGCGCGGGCGCCGGAGAATAGCAGCCAGCTGGAGTTGGAAGTGCAGCGCCGGATCAGCCGCGTCTATTCGAAGCTCAAGAGCCAGCTGTGCGAGAAGAATCTCATCAGGCTGTTGCCCACGATGAGCATCCTGGACGAGGAACTGTCGGCGGTGATTGAGAGCCTGCTGGACAAGGCGCTGGCCGGTATTTTTGAAGAGCACCAGTTGAAGAGCAGCATTCCCTATAACACGCTGGGCGTGGATCGGGTGTTGCTCGAGGAACTGCAGCTGGTGGGCCACTACTCAAAGCTGCTCGCCCAGAACTCGGCCAACTTCGACATCATGAACGACGTGAAGCGCTACATCCGGGACAGCACCGTCCAGCCCCTGGTGGTGTCCGGTGCCAGGGGCAGTGGCAAGAGTGTTCTGGTATCCAAGATCATGGAGAATGTGCACCGCTGGAAACCGGAGGCACAACTCATACTTAGGTATCTATTTATTTAATATTTTTTTTGAAGCAGGCTAACGAACCAATGTTTGTCTTTCAGATATGCCAATCTCAGTGCCCGCTCCTCGGATCTCACCTCGTTGCTGGGCTCAATGGCCAACCAGATGTCGGTTCTGGAGACGGGTCATCAATGCCAAGTTCCACACGTAAGAAAGTCCTTTGCAGAAGCTACTGCCAGAATGCGCTAATGCTTTTATCCCTGCAGACATTGGAGGCCTACGCCGGTGTTATTCGCGAGATCCTAGATCGGCAGCAGCGCTTCTTTGTCCTGATCATTGACGGCGTGGATGAGCTGCAGCGAGATGAGACGCTCGACTGGCTACCCCTGCAGCTGGGCAGTGCCAAGCTGATCCTCACCGTCAGCGAGCTGGCGGAGGAGGGCGAGGACGGCGCGGACAGCACTGCTGGAGGAGACGGCTTTGATATGCTCGCCGCGCTGGCGCAACTGGGCATACCACAGCGCTGTTTCCTGCGCGTTCGCCAGTTTACGGAGCGCCAGTGGCACGATATCCTTAGCTCAGGCGGTGGCGACTTCTACGCGGCCAACGGGGCGCTCAAGCTGCCCGACGAGTGGAAGACGCTGCATGGCAAGACACCCTATCACGCCAAGTCCCTGTGGTGGCTCGCCTGGCTGGGACATGTGGCGCAGCCGATTAGCGAAATCGGCGAAATCTCCGGACGTATCTTGCAGGTTCTAGAGTCGAAATTCGCCACCGATCACGTGGAGTTGCTGCTATTGATCGTACGACTGTCGCCGTGGGGCATCCGTGAAAGTGACTGCCTGGGCGTGTTCCAGAAGATGACGCAGGTGGAGGCGCAGGTCGCCTTTAAGATCTGGTCAAAGTTCTGCTGGCTGATGGGACCAATGCTGTTAGGTCTTAAGAATATTAGGATAGCAGACAGGAGCTTTGGACGAGCGGTCCTGGCGAGGTACGCGCAGAAGCAGTGGCTGGTACATGAAGCGCTGCGGGACTACTTCGACCGGCAGGACAGCGAATTCAAGGGTAGCCAGGGTGTCAACACGTGAGTATTTTAATTAATTTTAGTATAAGGTTCCTTCCGAATGTCATAATTAGTTTAAGAATTACTTCTTCACGGATTCCGATATGGGAAAAGATAGATAAATAATTTTAAATAATTAATTTAATCCTCTATAATTTCCATCATCAGCTACAATTACCAAAAGTACTTAAAACTGCCTTATCATCACTTCTGTGCCGTGATCGAGGACAAGCCGGCGCCGCACAAGATCGACATACTCTTCAACTGCTTTTACTTTACGGATCTGCAGTGGATTGCCAACAAGGTGCATGCCACCGGGCCAGATCACCTGCTGCACGACATCCTGCAGGCCGTTTGGCTGGCCAAGTCCGGCGGCGACGATTCCACATCCGAATATGTCCACATCCACTTCCTCAAGCGATTCCTGGAGCATTATCTGCACGAGCTGAGCTACGACGGCCAGCAGTTTTACACGCTGATGAAGTACTACCTGAAGACATCCTTCAGGGAATCACCGGAGCTCAAGGACGACGAGAAGATACGCTCATGGTGGGAGTGCACAAACGAGCTGGAGTTTGCTTTCCTCGAGATTCTCAATGCCGATTTGGATGCCGAGAACGGCAATGGGACAGATGGAGCTCCGGCGACAGGGAATGGCGAGGGTGAAGCTCCCTCTGCGACCTCCACCGTCAAAGGCTACGACGTCCTAATGAATCTTCCCCAGCCGGGTTGCTATGTCGCCTCCCTGTCCACGGAACGAGCTGAGATCTGCATTTGGGATGTGAAGAACTGCTGCCGCATTCGTGAGCTGCAGGGGATCCAGCAACCGACAGCCATGTGTCCCGTTGGGAGCTACGAGGCGGCAGTGCTTTGTCGTCGCGAAATCCGTGTCATTAATCTTGACGAGGGCAAGTTTAAGGTGGGTTTTTATTATGAAGATTAATATCATTTTATTACATTATTCGTGTCCCAAACACAGGTTACTCTAAAGGGAGTGATGAACCAGAAGATGCCATACTTTGGACTGCACGACCAGAATCACTTGGTGTGCCTATCCCGGAACCGCATGTACGTCAACCTTATGAACCTGGAGTCGGGTGACTGCGTGACCACCTTTAAGGCAGGCGAAGATCGCTTCCTCAACTCCCTGCTGGTCTCCGGTGATGGAAGGTAAATGGAATTGTATTCAAAAATTTAGAACTTTTTTAAGATTTAATTTTGAATTTTCAGAATTTTGGTCTGCGGCGATGAGACTCAGAAGCCCTTCCCCCTGCTGGTATGGCACCTGTCGCAGCGCAAGCTGCTCTATGACCTCCGAATCCCGCACCATGACTTCCTCACCTCACTTTCGGCAATAACCCACGAGGGCTCCTACGTCTGTGTGGTAGCCAAGGAGCTGAACGAGCCAACGACTCCCAACTTCATCGTGGTGTACGACCTGCAGAGTGGCACCCTGTTCAAGAAGTGGAAGCCCAGCTGCAACACAGTTTCCCTGGCGATCTCCCAGGTCAATGCCTGCGTCATAGCTGGCCTGGAAGATGCCAAGATCCTGATCTGGGACCTGGTCACGGGCAATTGCAAAAGCACTCTCATTGGCCACAATGCCCCCGTGACCTTCCTAAAGCTGGATCCACTGGGCAAGGTTCTGCTCTCCTACGACAAGGAGGGACGTGACAGTGCCATTCGCATGTGGGAGCTCAATTCTGGTGAGACAATCTCTGGCAACCTTGAGATACTGGAGTCTTCATTGCTCTATTTTTGCACAGCTAAATCCCTGGCCGTTTTCAAGCCACCGGCTCAGGTGAGCACCAGCGAGATACTGCCTAATGGGGCCTTCGTGGTGCTGGCCCTCAAGGATCGCAACTCCCTGCTGACTTTGGCCCTTAAGAATTATGGCAGCGGAACGGGCGACACCCTGGAGGACGATTGCGGCGGCACTCTGTACGGCAATCCCGACAACCAGCACAAAGTTTTCGACTTGAGTAATTAAATCAATTAACGCTAGCTATCATTATTCAAATTATAAATGAAACGTAAGCCAGTAGAAGGATCTCTGGATTATTATAAATACGGCAAACAATTTCTCATGCATAATTCATTAGTTGTATGAACAAATTCTTTGAACAAATCTTACCAAATGTACAAAACAAAGCAAAGGAAATCCAAAGAAATTAAAACTCTTCAAAAGTCTACTCATCAGCCGGACAAGGTCTCGTTTTTTATGTGGTGGCAAACAGATACAGCAGATTCTTTGCAAACTGGATGATTTCGGTGCCGCCTAGCTTCGAGGTACCGTAGATGCGGTCCACGAATGTTATGGGCACCTCGGCGATGCTGTAGCCATGCTGGCGTGCCCGCACCAGCATTTCCATTTGGAAAACGTAGCCCTTGGACACGCAGCTGGCAATGCACTTCTCCAGCACGTCCTTCTTGTACAGGCGGAACGAGCCGGTCAGGTCGCTGGCATTGGGTCGTAGCAGAACCTGGGACAGGAAGTTAGCGCCGCGCGAGATGAGCTTACGCTTAAAATCCCAGCCATAGACACCGCCGTCTCCGGCGTACCGAGTGCCCGACACTATGTCGTAGTCGCCGCTCTCCTGTAGCCGAATGAACTCCGGTATGAATTTGGGCTAGAGCAAAAGGACAATATTGCATTACTTCCAACCCCACGTCAGTTTCCCTTCGTTATCTATGCTCACATGATGACTCAAGTCGGCGTCAATGATTATGATAAAGTCTCCAGTGGCGTGCTTGATGCCATGGATGTAGGCCGTGCCCAATCCCAGCTTGGATCCGCGAGGCCTCAGCACGATCCTATCCTCACCGTAGATGCGCTGAAGATCCTTGGCCACATCCAGCGTTCCGTCCGGACTGCCGTCGTCAATAACAATCACCTCGTAGTCGTAGCCGCTGCAAAAGGTAAACATGCAATGGCTATTTTAAGCCTCTTAAAGAGCCGCTAGTCACCTGGCCTTCATGTATTTCACAATGAGCCATATTATAATTGGCAAATTATCCTTTTCGTTGTAGGTGGGCAGCAGAATGCTGTATTTGTGAGCATTTGTTGGCATGGCTCTGGATTTCGTTTGAAACCATGTAAATAATTCTAATACCAATTAGGGCAGTGTTGGTGAGTGCCAAAAGCAAAACAGCTGACGACGATACCTACTTATCGGTATCGATACACTTCGATTGGTTGGCAAAACGGTTTTGGCTGATTCTGTGATTTGTGCAGGAATTTCCTGCCTTCATTTAGTCCTTCTCGATCGGCCGCTATATTAAATTGTTGTTCAATGTGCAAGCGGATATCGCGAATGTGAACCCTGTGTAGTCGTGGGTTTTTTAGGTCGCCAGCATGGCCAAAAAGATACCGTTCAACGTGGTATTCTCCTCAGGTAAACAAACAAGCAGGAAATGTGCATAATTTATTAGCTCTTTATTTTTGTTTTGCATTTATTTGCAATATTTTATGATTTCCTATTTACATTATTTGTTTTATTTATAGTTCCGGCTGGAGTTGAGCAAAAGCACTCGGTATCCCTGTCCCCGTCCCCTCCCTCCCAAGCCCTAGTGCACTTGAGAAATCGATAAGTCACGCATACGCCTAGTGCGCCAGGACGTTAGGATTCAATGTAGGAATACAAGCGGACTATTTAATTCAAGCCTAGTTGGCTACAATCTGTCTCAATTTGTCACAGCCGCCGCCGATTTAGCATGGACCATTACCTCCGTGGAGGGGAATAAGCCACTGCAACGACTATGGCCATAATTTTTCATTATATTATTGACAGATTGCCGGTTGTATATTGCCTAATCTTCCGTCTGCATATTCAATTAGAGTTGCGGCCAGAGATTTATATTTGGCAAGGCGCCAGGCTCTTTATTTTTGTACTGTCAAAGTCCTGTGTAAGCCTCAATGGTCTCTGCCTCGTCCTCCTGCCCCTGATCTACTGGACCTGCTTCTCCGCCTTCTTCTTAGACCTATACCTGAGCTTAGTCAGCAGGGAGAGAACCGGCGAGATGATGGTGAGCACATACACCAGCGCAGTGACCAGCATCATGCCTGGAATAAAGTTGTTATCCACAAACTTGGTGAAGAACTTGGAGTAGTAGCCCAGATAGATGGCTCCCATGCCCACGCTAAAGGTGATGAGGCCGAATAAGTTATGACGAAAGCGCAGTTCCGATGGAGGGAAGAACTTCAAAGCGAACTTTGGCTGGAAATAATTAACAAAACCGCCGACGATGCTGGCCGCACAGCCGAAGGTGGCAGTAGCGCCTGAAATTGGTCAAATATTATTAATCTTATGAAGGGTCTGTCTGGTTTTTGACTCTTACCCACTCGTCCGTGCCATGTGTTGAAGTGCACATCCTTGTTCGAAAACTTTCCAATTCCCCCCAACAGAACCATGGAGCCGCCTACGATTTGGAGGATGGCATGGAATCGCGACTTGTTGCGGTGCGACAGCCAACGAGTGACGGGATTAACTTTGTAGTGTGACATCATGGCCTGGGCGATAAGGACGTGGAACTGTCGGGAACAGGGAAAGCCTTTTTAGAAGATAGGTCGATAAGATAGCTTGGCAAGTGACGTTGCATGTTCACTGCCGAAATCGAAGCATAATAATTACACGCTTATCTACTTACTCCGATGCCAGTCATGAACATATGCATGGCGGTGTCTTGGAAGTTCAGGCTGCGCGCCAGGACGAAGAAGAATGCGGCCACCAGGAAGATGAGCATGTGGTTAATGCTGTTCAGCAGGCTCTGGATTTGAAGCCAGGCGGTGGCTTTAGTGTATCCCTCCGGCATTATTGTGGCTTTTTTGGTTTTTTGACTTTTTAATAGATTTACTAGCTAAGTATCTGATAGTTGTTTATACTATCAGATAGCAAATAGATTTGATTACGAGGCGTGGAATAGTTTACTCCACTTTGAACACGACCGGCTGAGTGACGACTAAGCTCGCGGGTCGCTAGTCGTTGCTTAAATACAAAACAGAGAGATAGAGAGTGGGAGCGATAGGCAGAGAGAGAGGAAATTAAGTGAGGTAAAAACATACAGCTGAGGTGCGAAATTCGCACTGCGAATAATAGCACCAGCTAACATACATGGAAATGGGTTTAAAAGTTAACTACTTAATTAAGAGTATTATTAATAAACCCAGATTATATTATACTATAGTAAATTCAAACCCGAAATGTTTGTTATTTCATTTTAGAATTTTTAGGATACCTACATAATAATGAAAAAAATTTAAAACAATTTTAATCATAAAAAGCTTTTTTTATTGCATGAAAACTCTAAAAACTTTGTATTTTTATTGTTTGATCATTCTTTTCTATTATATGTATAGTTTAACTGATGTTATTATTTCGCCCACAACTGTATTTTATAATTTACAAGTAAGGGGATCAAAGTGCGTAAGAGAATTGGAATGTGATATCAGGTCTAAACTGTTTAAGAGAGCTATTGTGTCACCTGCTGATTTGGAGCTCTTTAACCCTGCACATAATGCTGACTTGATCTTTTTTCACGCCTGTGTAGACGAGGATGTTAACTTTCCGGCCAGCGAGCTTAACACACACGGACCTACTGTTCACGGCTGGCGGAGTGCTCCGGACAGCGGACTCACCACCCATGACATAATCCTCCGTTTCCACCAGCCTGCCAAGATCTATCGCATCCAACTTCTGGCCCACCAGTATCTTATACGTAAGTGGAAAGCTTTTTTAATTCCGAAATAAGCCTAACGATAGTTCCTTTACAGCTGAGAAAGTGGAACTCTGGCTGCACTACTCGCCCAAATCCCTGCCCAGCACACCGTCGTCGCAGTACTTTGACTTCCTGGGCTTTGTGGCTCTGGCGGACAACGCCTACACCAACTACAAGTCCAGGGAGCTGCAGAGCGTCACTGTTAGTCCCAGAAGGGGTACGCACCTGAAGCTGCGCCTCATCGGTGTCCACGGGAACGAGTTCAATGCCACAAGTCAGATCTCCCTGCTGGCAGTTAACGTGTTGGGTGAGGACCTGGAACTGAGCCCAACAAACAATGCCAACAATGGCGAGGAGCACCACTTAGGCAACGATGCGCCACCGTTGGACACCGCCACCGGGGAACTGGCACTGGCTTCAGTATGCGACGACCTGCTCTTCTCCATGTACGTCGAGGAGTCCATTGTTCAGTACATCCGGGAGTTGGAGCAGCGCAAGGCGCAGGCCGTTAGTGCCGAGCGATTCGAATATGCCCGGAAGCTGAAACTGTGCATGACCGCTCTCAGGAGTGCCGGCGAGCGCCTGGGGCGCTATGCTTTGGCTAAACGACAGGCAGTGCAGCAGGAGGACTTCACCACCGCTCGGCTACGCAAAGACCAGATCGAGATGTACAGGACGGCGGTGCTGCGCCAGCTGCAGGTACAGCAGCTGCTCGAGCCCGAGGGAGTGCTCAGTGCCAACGACCAGAGCTGTGAGATCTATGCGGGCGGAAAGCCCAGTCTGCCGGCGGCTCCCAGTCTTCAGGAGGTGGCACAGGCCCTGGCCGAGGCTGCATTCAGCCCCAAGAGCATGGCCAGTCTTAGTCTCGAAGAGAAATCCTCCACGGACGGAACCCAAGGTCAGGCAGGCAATGACACCGCAGTGGTGGCTCCTGTTCCTGCTACAGCCCCCGCCTCACTACAGCCGACGCCCACACCCACACTGGGCGGCTGGCGGAAGTCGCACGACGAGCTGCCACAGTCTCCACGTCTGGCCTCGCGGCACAGTTCACCCATGTCCAGTAGGCAGGGATCGTTGCGGCGGCGCAACAAGAGCGTTCCGCGCAACTCGTACGAAGACTACGAGGAACGGGCCATACCTACGCTGCGACAGTAAGTACCGCGTGTGTGTAGAACGTGTATCAATAGGTAAACAATTGTGGTTGTCTATGTTTTTGTTTAAATAGCTGTCGGATTTCAGTGTTGCATGACGACTCGTTTGCCGTAGACTTAGCTCCTCCAATGATTGCCAACACTGGCGGTAGCCAGTAGTAAGTAATCGATACACAAAACTAACGGTCGATTGTTTTACAGTTTTATTTCAAATTTAAATTCAAAGTGATCGATTTTGTATAAGTTTTAAAAGGGTATTAAATATATACAAGGAACTATATGTCCGTAAAAGATTGTTTTCTTAATTAAGGAGCTAGGAAAATAATTGTGTATACACATTTCAAAATTTAATTTACAAAAAATAATAATAAAAACATTCTAAGCTTACATTTCCCTGAGAAGTAAAATGATAAAATTAAATAATTTTCCATTTAATCAAATTATTCGGAAGCCGAAGAGACCTTTAATTAGTTGATATATTAGTTGATTTACGTTCTTTCGTATTTTTATCTATCTCGTACTCCTATAACCCGTAAATGTATCCGTAAACGTTGAATTCCTATACCAAAAAAAAACCAATCAAACCGCTCACAGTTCAAATACTAATGAATTTTTAAGGGAGTGCCAAGGCAACGCGCTGCTGGAAGCCGATCCCAATCGGGGGCGCTCGCGCTTGAACGACCGCGAGCGTCGCCAGGCAGCCCTCCCTATCCTGGTCTTCGGTAGTGAGTTGGTAAGTAATCTCGGGAATATTTTATTATTTAACTAACTTTATTTACTACCAAATCTAGGTAGAACAGTTTTACTCCCGTCAATTTCAAGATCGCGAAGATGGCTTGTTGCGCCTGCGCAACTTCCTCAAGGAGCACGAAGTTGAGGAGGAGGTGCCTTCTAACGAGCACGCCGCCAGTCCCAACAAGGTAGCCCGCAGCGCTGCCCTGCTCCTCCACCGAGCAGTACGGGACGCAGTCTACTCAGTGTTTAGCCAGGCCACTGAAACGGTGCGGGTCCTGTTCCTGGAGTACGTACCGGGACGCGTTTCGCTCAGCGAAGTGGCTCGCTGTGTGGACCGCCTACTTCCCGAACTACTTGCCAAGTCTGGTGACCCGTCGGCCCGGCTGCACACTCTCGCCCAGCACACGATCCTGAGCATAGCCGCCTGCCCGGAGGTGGCGGAGCAGCACTTGGTCGCCCCGGCTCTATCACGCAGCGTCGGCTCCGGCACCCACCAGCGTCTGGCAATGAGTCGCCTTCAGATGCTGGAACAACTGGTGCATACACAGGGCATCAGCACGGATAAGCACAGTGGTCTCACCTGCCGGGCGCTCTCCGAGTGCGGCTGCTCTGGCATCCACCATCCTGCGGAGCCTGTGCGAAAGGTGGCGGAGCGCATCCTGCTTCTCGTCTACAAAGTCAATCCCCGCCTGGTGCGCAAGCAATTGCCCCCCGACGACGATATCACGCGTCGGAATCTCCTGTACCGTCAACTCTTCACGGAGTTTGATAAGTTGGATCTGGACCGCAAGCAGGAGCTGCTTGAGGCCAACAAGTACCCGGGAGGTGGTCACAGCTCGGGGGATCCGACCACGCCGCCGCCGGATAAGGCCTCCACTAGCTCGGATGCCACGCGAGTAAAGAGCCGAAGCGCACAAGGTCTGGTGGTTCCCAGCTCGAACAATGGATTTGCCAGCTGCAATGGAAAGCAACAGTACAATGAGCAGTTGAAGCGCTCCATGCTATCCGCCTCAAACTCTCGCAAAGGCTCCGCCTCTAACTCAGAGTCCACCGAGGACAACTCGCCCAAAATGTGAGTATCAAGATTAGATATTTGTACAGAAAATCGTTGTGATTGTAAATTTAAAAATGTTGAAAATTCAAAATTTTAAAAATTAAAAATGTTGAATATTAACAAGTTTTTAAATTAAAAATTTAAATTTAATTTTTTTTAAATTAAATATTTTAAAAGTTAACCATTTTTTAAACTAAACATTTTAAAAATTAAAAAAAAATTTTACAAAATAAAAATTTTAAATATTTAAAATTTAAAAAAAATTCAAATTAGAAATTTTAAAGATTAAAAATTAAAAATAAATATAATAAATAAAAATTATTATAAACAATTTTATTATATTTACTTTGCTCCCTTTCAGACATTGCCCCTTTTGTGACTGGTCATGTGCAGGCAGCGACGTAAACCAACTAGATCGCCACTATTGGAAGTCCTGTCCTTTCCTCACCAAGTGCCCACAGTGCAGTCAAGTTCTGGAAGTAGCGGCCCTTAACTATCACCTCACAAGTATGTTGAAAGTATTACCAAAATATCATTTTTTATTTTTGAATTATTCCTAAAAGTGGAATGCGATGCCAAGGAGAGCTATGTGGTCTGTGCTCGCTGTACTGAATCGGTGCATAAGCAACTTTATGAACTGCATCAAATGGAAGACTATTGCCGGGGTAAGGCACTCATCCCATATAAAGCTACCAATTTAAATATGTTCTATTTTCCAGAACTTAAAACGGGAGCCGCTCGTTGTCCACTGTGTCATGACGATGTTCACCTGCCCCAGGATGGCGGCTGGAAGTTGCATCTGCTTAGTGCCGGCGGTTGTCCCGGGAATATACGCAAAAAGAATCTCAAAAAGTCAAATTAACCGATCGATCTATTGGCATTCGTAGCGAATTTATTAGAGCAACTAACAAATAAATGTACTAACCCGGAGACACTTTCTCTACCGAGCTAACAACTAATTGCAACTGCAATAGCCATAAGCGTTAATTAATTAAATATGTTTTACACTCTATGTATTCTCTTTAGACACATTTTGTTATGCGAATTAGTCCGATTTATTTTGTATCCGTTCTTTTGTATGTTTTCTAACGCAATGTGATTTGTTAGCTGTAACACGAATTTTTGAAACGTCCTTACAATAAATAAAGCCCATCCATACAGTTTTAAACATACATACGTAAATATGTGAATTTTATTTTATCGATCAAATTGTGTAATAAACAATAAAAAGCGTAATGCATGTACGCCTTTACACCTACATAAAAGTGCAGGTCGTTAATAAATTTTTAATTGCTGCATTTATACATTTACAGAAGCAAAGACATATATATATATATATGTACATGAATCTACATATATATTTTTATAAGTACACCAAATGCAACTCAATTGGATTGATTAAAAATCTTTTGTCATATGCATATGCATAAAACAACTGAGGTAATGGTAATAGCTGCTTTTATAATACACGTTAATTTAAGATTGTTTTTTTAATATTCATATAAAACTGGAGGGTCAAATTAATTCATTATACGCAGCACACATACAACTTTAACACAATCGGATCCACCGGTCATTATTGACCAATTCCATAATAATATATAGAAGATAATGAAAAATGTTCAATAAGCTTCAAATCTTTTTTTTTTTATGAATGAGAAAACTAAATATCATAAATATGATGGCAACCAAGAAGCCGATTAGAGCCCAGAGAGGAAATATATACCTAAAACTTATTTTTGGAAACTCTTTTTAATATCAAGATACATTTTTGAATAAAGTTTTATTAATTTTTTTATATTTAAAATATAACTTTAATCCCAATAAAGGAAAAATGAATTTGTCAGACACAAAATTGTAAACTAGTTATCCAGAATCAGAGGAAAGGTTAAGTTTTTAAAATTCGTTTTAGGATAATCCATTGAAAAGGCTAAAACGTTGCTTTTCTTTTGTTCTTTTTTTATCACTGGCATAAAAGACTCTTACATTATTTTAAATGAGCAATAAAAGTTTACTACTATTTTTATGCGCACCATTGTACAATTTAAGTGTTGCAAAACGGCGTACTTAGTGTTGGTTTGTGTGCGTGTGCGACGCGATTGGAAGCGTGAAAAAAACAGCCGGCGGCGGCGGCAAGAGCAGCAGCAGCAGCAGCGGCAGAAATTAAATCAGTTTTTGCAATAAAAATAAACGCGAGCTATAGCCCGGTGCGCGCGCCTTATTTTATGCATTGCATTTCCGCTAATAATTTTCGCTTTGCGTTCGAATTCGGTTCAAGAAATTGACAAAATGTTCTGACTGTCGGTTAATTAAACGCCGCTATTATCAAACACCCGCCCGCTTCGCTTTGCTCCTCTCCGCCGCTCTCCTTGAAGCCGGCTGTGTCGCGTGTTTTTCCACTCAGATTAAGAAATACTTCAGATTCCGATCAAAAACCCAAAATGCAGAAGCTATTTAGGCGCTTGATGGACCACCGATACCTGACCAGGGCCCAGATCGATGGCTTCGACAACTACAAGGTGGGCAAAAGGATGTTTGAACAGGATGTGTGGGCGGCAGCGGCAGCAGCGGCGGCTGTACCATGAGCAGAGCTGCCCAAGAAGTTCCAAGAAATCCAAACCAGTTCTCGGTACTCCGTACTTGTGTTCATTAAAATCTATTTTTAGAATCACCACCAGACACCAGACTGAGGCACAACAGCCGAAACCTTTCGTAAAATTATGGAGTTTCCCGCTTTAATCGAAATATTTTATTTGCTTACAGTACAGCGCCATTGACACCTCACCGCTGAGTCAGTACGTCATGCATCCCTTCTGGGATTGGCTGGTCAAGGTGAGTGATTTGCTCTGCAAAATTATTGCCTGCAAAAATCGATACTTAACGTCCACCCAACCCCCTCCCCATCGCAGTTCTTCCCGCGCTGGTTTGCGCCCAACCTGATGACGTTTCTGGGCTTCCTGTTCAGCGCCCTGAACCTGGTGCTGTTGTCGTACTACGACTGGAACTTCGAGGCCAGCTCCGGCGAGGAAGGCACAACGCCCATTCCCTCGTGGGTCTGGCTCTGCACAGGCATCAATATATTCGTGGCCTACACCCTGGATGGAATCGATGGGAAACAGGCGCGCCGCATCGGCTTATCCGGCCCGCTGGGTGAGCTCTTCGACCATGGCTTGGACTCGTACACGGCCATGCTGATACCGACCTGCCTGTACAGTATTTTCGGCAGGAGCCGCGTGTACTCGGTGCGGCCTATGCGGATGTATTACGTCTGTCTGACGGTCTATTTCAATTTCTTTGTGTCGCACTGGGAGAAGTACAACACGGGCATCCTGTACCTGCCCTGGGGCTATGACCTGAGCATGTGGGGCAGCACGGCCATGTACCTGGTCACCTGGTGGATGGGCTTCGAGCGCTGGAAGTTCGAGCTGCCGCTGGGCTCCTATGGCACCCTGCCGTTGGGCAATGTCATGGAGGCGGTGCTGCATGTCAGCGCCATGGCCAATCTTCCGCTAGTCATCCTTAACGTGTACAAGTAAGTCGAACGAGCAATGTAATTTTTGGTTCTTTACTATATATATTTGTTTGTTTTAGTTCTTATGCGAAACGCACTGGACGCCTGTTGCCCTTCTGGGAGGCAATCCGACCGATGTGGCCCTTTTTGACATACTTTATCATCCTGTTGGCCTGGCCATATCTCTCGCCCAACGACATCATGGAAACCGATCCGAGAGCCATTTTCATGCTAAGCGGCACCATCTTCTCCAATGTCAGCGTGAGTAAAGCTTTAATTTAGTTGGAATTTGATTTTAAATTCGAAAGATTTAACGGACTTTTTCTTTGGCTAAAGATTAAAAGTTAAAATGAATTTTTTTTAATAACAAATATATATTAAAATAATTAGTGATGAGATAAAATATAGTTAACGCGCCAATTTTGGTCTAAAATAGAAAATATGCATTATTTTAAGAATCGATAATATTGATATTTTAACGAAAAACAATATTTTTCGATATTTAATATTCGATGTCTAAAATTTCACGATATTTTCTATATGGCAAACATATTTAGTTGTCGTTTTCTCTATGGTTTATCAGTCATATCTCAAAGCCAACGATGAATAGTATAATTTATAATATACCTATATATTATATATACATATAATAATATAATACCTACTAACAAAGGCCATTATCATACACATACTTTTATTCTATTATTCAATCAAATGTGAATTCAATAGGCGTCGCTCACACTTCCAGTTACAAATTAGTCTAAAGTCATTTAAAAATACAAATTATACACCCTGGCCTTAGTCTGCTTTATCAAAACATTGTCGCGTGTGGGGTTGATTCATATAATAATCTAGATAAGGGGCGGGTGTGTCAACGTCTGTAGTGGCCCCTTTTGGCCCGGAGTTAACTGCCAAACAACTGCCAACAACTTTTAATGAGTCATTTGACTTGCCCCATATCGGCATTTGACTTTGATAAACCTACAAAACAAAAACACAGCTCGAAAAACATTTCTTCGAAATGCCGCCCTTTTGCTGCGGTGGACGGCGCTGCGCCAAGGACTTGGAGCAGGAGAAGCGGAACGAAGGACAAGGTCGCGAATCGTTTAGAGAGCTCGTTTACACCACCACCGCTGAGTATGAGCGTCCGTTATCCCTGAAGTTCTATGCCCGCCACGACTGGCCATATTTCAATTGCACGGACACCGAGATCCGGCACATACGGGAGAAGCTTGACCCAGACTCGCTGAAGAACGCCGCCAGAATGGCCAACACCGATGAAGAAGCTGAGGAAAAGTACGAGCTGAAGCATAGCACGCCTCAACCGATGACCGTTAACCAGATCTATGGCTGGTACTCGGATCGAGCTCACCGTTACCTCAAACAAGACAGAGGCACATTTGTCTTTCCCCACGAAAACGATCCGATGATTGCGCAGATTCTACGAAACAAAATACACACTCACTAGAGCTTAACCATTTTGATGAGTTTAAAATTAAAGTCGGCATAGTTAAAATGTATTCAACGAGTATGGTTAATTAATAATTATAATTTAGTGAAATATCTTTAAAAATGGGCATATTTAAAAAGAGGTTCCAAACTAGTTTTGTTCTTAGTTCCAAAAAGTGTCGACCTGTGCTATTCATTCCTCGATATATGTACATACATCCCTAGTTAAAGCCTCATTCTCACACGCTCTTTGTTCCTTTTTTTTTTTGCAGTGCCGCCTGATTGTTTCCCAGATGTCGGTGACGAGGAGCGAGGCCTGGCACTGGCAGACGCCCATGTTCTTGATCTCCTTCGCGTTGAGCCTGTGGCTGCCAGTGCTGGAGAGGCCGCTGCTCTACATGCTGCTGTTGGTGACCACCCTGAGTCACTGGCACTACGGAGCCAGTGTCGTAAATCAGATGTGTGAGCACTTTAACCGCATCTGCTTCACGGTGCACAAGAGAGTGCCGCTTGAGGAAAAGAAGACTCTGCTCGGGGAGCACATAAAGAAACCAAATCAAGCTCAGTACGAGGGACCGTTGAAAAAGAATGAGTAGACAAATGCAAGCTACTTATGTGTATGCGTCTTTTTTCCGGGAATTGCTCCGACTTTTTGATTTTAGCTTCGATTTTTGTTGCTCGTTTTGTCTGTACATTATGGAGGCTGTTTAGTTAAAACGATTGATCTTGTGAGATTATGTATAATTTGTCATATAGTTAGAATACATATTTAAACAACGGACATCCTAGTGAGTGCTGCAGTATCCCAAAGGACTTGAATTAACGTAATGCTCTCTTCCAATGATTACCCTTAAACTTAAACTTAAACTTATTATGACGACTACGTTTTCTGTATTAAATCTATGCTCTGCAATGACCCATCGTAGTATATCAATTGCATGAACAAAGGCATAACAAGTATTCTGTGTTGCTGCTAAGATATCACTTAAGTATTAGTTGATAGATCCCATTCCAGTCCATCAACTTAGTTATGCTTTTAACTTCTTTCTAACTGTATTTGCCTACCAAATATTAACTAAATATTCCGAAAATCCTAAACCACAAAGCTCGCTTTCGCCATCCGTATTTGGGTGTTTATTATATTCGTCTAGACATAATCGAATAATTTTCATGTGCTACGCCTAATTTAACTCCATTGTTTTATTTATAAATGCTCCACAAAAGCGAATACATAAACGCCGCCACAGCAATAGTTATAAACTAAAATAACCGCAAAGACCTCTAATTATTTGAACACACATAAGCGTATACATTATTTTTAAAGTAAACCTCAATGTCATTCAACTGTAGTAATGTGACGTCGTCCAAAGCGCCACAGCACGCTTTTATCGTATGAAACCTATTCGTGAGGTTCACATTGTGCAAAAAAGAACAGAATACAACAAATAAAAATAAAACAAAGTATTTTGAAAAGTTTAAACCGATCTTTTGAGATAAACTTCTCTCCGCCTGATTTATGTCTGCTCGCTGACCATTTTAATCGAGATTACGCATTGCAAATTAAACATTTTGCCAAATTTATATGTAAGTATTTTGGGGGAAAAAAAAGTAGAACACATTTGTAGGTAATGAGGCTGTTGTTGGGTCAACAACTTATTCTTATTTAAATTAAAATCTTTGGAATTAAGTAAATTTTTTAGGAAATAATCGTTAATGGATTTTTTCAGCATACTTTCTTGGGATTTTTGACCTTGATCTTGGCTAAAATAATTATAATTTTAAAATTATTATAAGGTTGCTAATTACAATAAAAATTGCTTTAAATTATAAATGTATTAACAAAAATTCAAAAAATGTAAACTTTTTTCGCCAGATATTTATAGAATAATGATCCTTGAGCATCCTTAAATTTTATAATCAGTTGAAGAAGATCCTATGTCTCCCATCTCGCATCTCAAATACCTTGTGTGGTTGCTAGGAAGCATTAGAAATGCACGGCTCAGAAGATTTCCACAGTACCCTGGCAATGCGGAAGTCTTTGGTCTGATCGGCGGTCATTCAACTGGGTCTAGCAATCGGGTTTTCGTGGTCTTCTAGTCCAGGTGGACTTGCCTTTACCGCCACCAAGAAGCTCGACTCATTCGCCGCACGCCATTGGAGCACATCGGTCCTGTGTCGCCATCCGCTGCTGGGAAAATGTACAAGTTCACCAATCGGCTGTTCGTCTTCGCCCTGTTGCTTCTGGCGCTGGGTGGTAGTCTAGCCCAACCCGCTAGTGGAAGGAGGAACGTGGTCAGCGACCTGCTGGAGGTATTGTACGAAGACTACAACGACAACGATTTCCAGCGGGAGGATGTGTTCTACGATCAGCGGCAAAAGGGTGCGGAAAACCTTCAGCTGAGTGTGGATGGAGTTGTCATCGAAATGGCTCCCCAAATGGTCTCTAGCTGGCTTTACTTAATGGCCGAATACCACTTGAGTGGGTATTCCAAAGGGGTTTCCCAAATATTCCTATTAAAGCTTTTAAACAAATCTTACCTAGGGAAAATGATGCTACTAACTACCCCCGAGCCAGATATCAACGAGTTATTCGAAGATGATCCTTTCACAGAGACGGCGGAGTCTGCTGCCAGTGAGAGCTCCACAAAACTCCCAGAACACGCCAATAGTGATCTAGAAAGTAGACAGTAACACATTGTATCGCCACAGAACTCCAGTCGGTGAGTAAATAAATTTAAATTGAAAGCAGGAAAAATCCCAATCAATAATAATATCTTAGAATTTATTATAAATAAGATACTATACAAATAGTTGTCTCTGGTTGCTTTACAATTTAAATAATAAACAAAATAATTATAAAAATATTATAAGGTTCTTCATAGATTTCGGGATTTGTTCATTATTTAAATTGTAAAGGCGCCGCCAAATGAGTACATAAATGCTGCACCTATATTTAATGAATCCATAAATCAACCTTAATGGAACCCTCATGATCGCATTGATATCGTTTGCTCAGGTGACAGCAGCCGGGGATGCGTAGTACGACGCATGTACGTGTTTTGCCTGTTAGCCACCTGGTGGTCAATGGGCGAGAACAAACCATTTCCTTGTTAGCTATTTGACGTGAAATTCGAGCCCGAAATCCACTGTGCCAGGGCGGTGAGAACCGCGCGGCCGCTACCCGCCCACCCCGCCTAACGGCTGGCCAATATCAATAAACAGAGACGGACGCCCGGACGACAGCTACCAAGTCACGCAGTCGAAATGGGCACGGCCAAACAAAAAGAGACGGGCCACTAAGTAAGTGGCATAAATAAAAGCCAAAACCAGAACGAGAATCGAGCATCCAGAAGAGAGAAGAAAGCCGCAGCAGCAGAAGAGTTACACGCAGAAAAAAGATCCAAAGACATCAGTAAATAAAATGGGAAATGTTACTTATAAAAATAATAATTACAATTTTGATTTAAAATTAAGACATGAAAAATAAAACAAAGCTACAGAGAACAAGGTCTGTCATCTCCCCAAATCTAAAGAATACAAATTTTTATAACAATTAATAACAATTATAATTTTAATTTAAAAACATGACAATCATCATTAATTCCGAAAGTCTTGTATAATTTAAATGTAATATACTTGGATATTTCTCTCAGTGTATCGGCAATGGCAGCGCCACAATATGAAAGTTGCGCCTGCGCCGACGTCGACGCTGACATCGAAGCTCTCCCGTCAGACTAGGAATCAGTTGCGAAGCAGAAGCGAGCGAGTCCAGAACACTGACCGGAGCAACCTGACCTGGAGATAAGCATCATCAGCGCAAAGAGATGGCCTGGAAGACTTTCATGGTACTGCTGCTGGCAGCAGAGACGCTGGTCTCTGGCACCCCCTTGGTCTCCACCATGGAGCCCCTGCCTTCCCCGGCAGCCGCTGCTGGTGCTGAACAGAAACCCATCATCAAGGAGGAACATTTTCCGGCCATGGCCCCGCCCCAGGCGATCGAGTCCAGCGGGTCCAGTGACCAACCCATTGCGCTGCAGCCTCCACCCATTCCAGCGGCCGCCCCATTAGATGACTCGGACTCGCTGCGTCGTCGGACCATCACCTACGACCAGAGGCAGGAGGGACAGTACAATATACGCGCCGATTTGGAGAACTTTATGATTTTGCTGATTCCACCCGGTCCCCAGGAGGGGATCAGCCTGCTGGAACTCTTGGGCAGAGGATCCACCAAGGCCAGTGGCGCCAGCAAGCGTAAGCATCCCCTCAGAAGCAGCCCCTTTAAGGAGTTCTATGAAAAGAGTCATATCCGGAAACTGCTGCAGCAAAAGCATCACGACTCCTCGCCAGCTGCGGCTCTGCCAGAATACATCGAGGGTCGATCCCCCTACCATGTGGACATCTCGGCCAGAGATCCCCAGCAGGCGCAGCGTCTGCAGCGCCAGCAGGTGGACGTACTGCCGCCACAACTGACTCCCATGCCGCAACTGATCAAGCCCTTCCATCTCGAGGCGGAGCCAGAGTTGATCCAGGCCCTGCCGCCAGTGGCCGCTGGCAGCAGCAGTAGCAGCAGCAGTGCGGGATCGAATTTCTTCGAGGGCTTCAACAACCCAGCAGTAATAAATGATAAATACTTCCGCCGTTCTCGCTCCCTGCGTGGCGACAGCTACCTTAACACCAATCGCCTGACTGGCAGTGACTTCGCCAATGGTCCGCGCTCCATTAGTGCTCCCATTTATCGCGGCGAGTTTCGAGGAGCTGGTAATGGAATGTATCCACCCATCGATGCCCCATCTTACTTCGTGGACCAAGCTCGTAGCTCCTGGCAACTAGATGAGGAGCCCACAAAGGTTCAAGCGGCCGAGCCCGAGATAGTCAGCTTCGATCTACTGTCCGATGACGACGACCTGGCCGATTCCCGGACCCTGCTCCGTGATGGCTTGGCGCGCTGCGCCCGCGGAGAGCGTCGGGATAGCTACGGGGCCTGTCGCCAGATCGAGGGCTACTGAGGGAGGAGCGAGAACAGCCAGACTGCCAGCCTAAATGTTAGTTTCATTTTACTTTGCACACACACTCTAGAGTTAAGCTGACGAAATTGTCTCACCAATAAATAAAAAAAAACTTCTTCGATTACATATTTATTGTAATAATTAAATTATTATTTATGTACTTGTGCCCAAGTGTAAGTTAACGCTTAGATGTTTGCCTTTGGCCAATAGCGGAAGTGGGCGCTCTGATGATAATGATGCTCTGAAGGATGAGGCCAGCATCTTGACAGCCGGGGGCCACCAGTAACAAGTGCTTTCCACACATAAAAGGCCAACTGCTCCATCATAATTTGTTCGGAGATTTTCTAGACGAAACCAGTTTACAGAGAATGTCGATGATGCTCCCGGCCAGCCTCTTCCTGTGGCCAAGTCATTGAACCTGCGCCCAGAACTGCAGCGAGACGGGATAAGTGCTAAAGTCAACACAGCTTCGAATTGGACAAATATATATTGCAAATTAGTATAGCTGTGATGATTTTCGATTTCTTCTAAGCTCGGAATCGAGGTTATTAGGTTAACATTTTACGAGCTCATTTAAAGTCCGAAATAACGTAAGGGAATAATTAATATTAAATCATTTTTTTAATCACAAAACTTTAAATTAAAAATGTACTAACGTAAGCTATAAAAGTTTAAACCTTTTTCGAATCGTCAAATATTTATAGAATTATGATCCTTGAGCACCTTTCCAAATTTTGTAATTGGTGCTCAAATTAATTTACTAGATATTTAATTTTAATTTCCATTTAATAGTTACTACTTACCTCTATTAATTTTGAAGTCAGAAGAAAGAAATCTTGTGGCTCCCATCTCGCATCTCAAATACCTTGTGTGGTTGCTAGGAAGCATTAGAAATGCACGGCTCAGAAGATTCCCACAGTACCCTGGCAATGCGGAAGTCTTTGGTCCGATCGGCGGCCATTCAACTGGGTCCAGCAATCGGGTTTTCGTGGTCTTCTTGTCCAGGTGGGCTTACCTTACTTACCTTCACCGCCACCAAGAAGCTCGACTCATTCGCCGCTCGCCGTTTGAGCACATCGGTCCTGTGTCGCCATCCGCTGCTGGGAAAATGTGCAAGTTCACCAATCGGCTGTTCGTCTTCGCCCTGTTGCTTCTGGCGCTGGGTGGTAGTCTGGCCCAACCCGCTAGTGGAAGGAGGAACGTGGTCAGCGACCTGCTGGAGGTATTGTACGAAGACTACAACGACAACGATTTCCAGCGGGAGGATGTGTTCTACGATCAGCGGCAAAAGGGTGCTGAAAACCTGCAGCTGAGTGTGGATGGGGTTGTCATCGGAATGTCTCCCCAAATGGGTCCAAACTTGCTTTACTCAATGGCCGCAAAGTACTTGAGTGGGTATTCCAAAGGGGTTTCCCAAATATTCCTATTAAAGCTTTTAAACACATCTTACCTAGGTGAAATGATGCTGCGTAAATCTACCACCGAGCCAGATATCGACGAGTTATTCGAAGATGATCCTGTCACAAAGAAGACAGAGCTGCCGGTGAGAGCTCCACAAAACTCCCACAACACGCCAATAGTGATTTATTAAAGCTTTTAAACACATCTAACCTAGCCGCCAGATTACAGCCTGTTACACGCAGATGATCCTTTCACAGAGACGGCGGAGTCTGCTGCCAGTGAGAGCTCCACAAAACTCCCAGAACACGCCAATAGAGATCTAGAAAGTAAACAGCAACACATTGTATCGCCACAGAACTCCAGTCTGTGAGTAAATAAATTTAAATTTAAAGCAGAAAAAAACCCAATCAATAATAATATCTTACGTCTTTGTAGTAATCCATCATTGCAAATGCTGAGTTTGCTGAAGATGCTTAAAAGTTCAAAGGCCTAAATGCCACGAAATCTATCGGAATTCATTTCAGACTTTTAGTTGTAAGTTATATTTTGCTATAGTTTGTGGAATAAAGTGTATATTTAAATGTAAATCTCGCTGAATAATGTCTTTCCTTGTTGCGATCGTAAAAGGTGATTTTTTTAGGAGCTTCTGTAATGTAATCGAGGTAGTATACAGGATATTTTTTGGTAGACATATAAGTACATAGATAATTAGGCTCACAGTCAATTTTGTATACCGTAGGGTCTCCTTCAAGGTGTTGTGCTAATAATAAAAAAAAGGCAATACAAATCTATAGGTACAAAAATATGAATAGTCTTTAATCTTAGATTCTGAGCGAAGAAAGCCATTTTTGAGCTACAAAATGGCGATATCGTAGTCGTTATCACGAATTGAAATATGCGGAAATCAAAAATTTAAGCAACAAGTTAACATTTTTGTTAATTAAAATATCCTTTATTAAATTTTAAATTGTTTTAAATAGGGTCGTTTTTTTTAATCTAAAATGAAAGAAATAAACAAAATTGAAAACGTAGTAAATATAACGGTTATAACTCGATTGTTTCAACGACAACTAGAAATACCAAAAAAATACCAAAAACTGCGACATTCGATAACATGCTTAAAAGTAGAATAAAAATATTTCACTTATCGATAACCATAATATTGTTTTTTGTCAAAGACCAGCTTTGGCATTACTTTACAATTTTCGGAATATATCAACCACTGCGGCCTGGCAGCTAGTACCGTGATTTGCAAGAATTCTGAGCCACGAATATTCAGGAACATTCCAGTGACTAGTTCGGCCAGTATATAAACCGGCCGCCGCTTCAGTTGCACTTGTACAAGCAAGCGAACGAGCGAGCCAACTACGACGCAGTAGTCGAGGGTCCAAAATTTAGTTTCGACAAACAACAAATTCGTTGCAAATAATCAAACGAGTATAAATTACCGAAGAAAATATTCGAAAAATATTGTGAAAATGCCGGAAAAGTTGTTGAAAATCACCTACCAGGGCGCAGGACCGCAGAAGAAGCTGAATGCATATTTGCGTATGCCATCGCAGAATTACACCATACTGCGCCGCGAAATCGACCTGTATTTGTTCCAGGAACGGCAGCTGCCCAAATGCGAGATCAGGACCTTTTGGATTGGTGAGTATTATGCAAAATTCTGCTACAAATTAAAGAAACATGAGAATACCCAAGCATACATGCATACATATGTACATATTATGTATGTATTTATGTATACATATGGTCATTCGATTTTGTAACTGCACTCCGACAATGCAGGCAACAGTTGTGATCGTCTAGCTGTAAAATCTAGCCTTTTTGTGTCTAGGTAGTAGTAGCCAAAACAGGTCCTGCCTTTATTCCGGTTCTTCCCCTTAAATAAACATTATAAACATTATAAATTTCACATTTTTATATATTTGTGTCGTTTTTACTATTTCAAATAAGATTTTACATCTTGACCTTTAGATCATTGGTCACAATCACAGGCCGTTATTAAATTATTATTCATTATATCAGAAAAAAGTGTAGAGAAATGTTCTGTAATTTAATAACTTACATATATATATTTTAACTTTAAAAAGGTCTTGATTTAACTATTAAATTTTAATGTGTTATTGCCAGATCGAACTTATAAAATAAAACTAATTCACAAATATCAACATCAAAAAGCCACATAAGCACATTTAAAACTAGTATTAGTTTAAGTTTTATTTGCATTGCCGGTCTAACCAGAAGTCTTACTATTTTTCGTAGCTTAGGTATCTTTGTGATTCACCTGAAAATCGCCCTGCGATAACAAACTAAATGACTCACTTTTTTTTTGTTCGCTTTTCCTTTCCTTTTTTTTTAGACACTGATAATGATGAAATTGAGATTGTCAACCAGAATGACTATGAGATTTTCCTGGCCAAATGCGAGAACAACATGCATGTCCAGATCGCTCCCATCCAGGAGGAGCCGCAGCAACCGAAGCAGGCTACTAAGCAAGAGTCTGCTGCTCCGTCGGCCGACGATCCTAGCAATTTCATCATCCATGACAACGTCGAGTGCGACGCTTGCGGTGTGGCCCCAATAGTGGGCTTCCGTTACAAGTGCGTCCAGTGCAGCAACTTTGATCTGTGCCAGCAGTGCGAGGCGGCGCACAAGCATCCCGAGCACCTGATGGTCCGCATGCCTACCAACGATGGACCCAATGTAGTTGAGGCCTGGCTCACTGGGCCGAATCCATGGGGAGGACGTCGCTGTGGACGCCGCTCCAAGGGTCACTGCCCGTTCGACCCAACCCAGTCGGCTGGCGCTCCGGCTGGAGATTCTGCCCGCGACAGTCGACGTGAGCGTCGTCATGCTCGTCGTCACGGCGGCGGCGTCTTGTCTCAGTTTGTTGAGATGATGACCAACTTGCCGCTCAACGAACCTACGACCACAGCATCGGCTGTGCCGCAGCAGCCCAAGGCAGCAGATGCTTCCAAAGCGGAGCCCACTGTAACCGCACAGAAGGCAGCAGAGACCGAAGCCCAGACTAATGGAAAGGAGAAAACCACTGAGGCATCAACACAGGAGCCACCGACTGCTCCGACCCAAGGAAGCACTCCCACTACTCCAGTGATCAACCTGGAGAACTTGTCCCAGATGGTGCCCCCCGAATACATGCGTGCTGGCATCGAGATCCTGAACAATTTCAGCGAAATGTTCGCCAAAATGATCGATCCCACTGAGTCGCCCGCTCCCTCTATGGCCTCTAGTGCTGGGACAACTAAACCAGCTGAGAAGGATCAATTTGGCGGCCAGTCGCCGGCATCTTCTGCTAGCCAATCAAAGACTCCTTCTGTAAACCCATCGGGGGCTCCCTCTGTGGCTGAATCTTTCTCGGAGACTGCTTCCCTTGAGACCGAGCCATTGCTACCCAAGACAACAACAGATGGAACTGCAGTGGCAGAAGCTTTGGTGGCCAGCGAGCCGGAGAGTCGTCGGTCGGACAGCTTGGACCAGGACTGGCAGGTTATCGATAATGCATATTCCGCCAACAACACCAACAGCGCCAACACTGACGCCCTGATCAATCTGGATCAGTCGATCAATCCCCCAACTGCTGCTCCCCAGCAGCCGGTGCGCGACTTTGGTCAACTGGGCGAACTATTGCGCCAACACATGAACGAGGAGGCTCGCGTTGAGCAGGCAGCAGCCAACACTCAGACCGCTCAGGTGGATACTGTTAGTACGTCCACCTCGACCACATCGGTGACCACCAACAGTGTTGGCACCTCGCCGGCTGCTCCCGAAGAGAAGCGCAGCGTGCCTGTCTATCACACAGGTAAGTCAGCTAAAGAATCTACCAAGGCATCCATATTAATATTCTCCATTTTTATTTAGATGAACGCATCAACTCTGCTATCCATGCCATGATGGCCATGGGTTTCAGCAACGAGGGCGCCTGGCTTACCCAGCTGCTGGAGTCGGTCCAGGGCAATATCCCAGCCGCTCTGGACATCATGCACGTCTCGCAGAACCGCAACTAAAGATGCGTTTTCAATAAACATAAATATATATCTACTATGTATCTTCAATATTCCTAAGGCCCCCCCCTATGAAATGCGGGAATTTATTTTATGTTTTCAATTTGCTTTATGTAGTTTTAGTTCATTTTTCCGTGGTGATTGTATAATCCCGGTAACCGAAAAAAAACATGTATGTATTTTACGTTTCTAATAATCAAAGGAAAGGCATAAGTATATGTATGCAATGTATAATCGATGTGAGAAAACAATAAAGGCACAAAGTTTAAAGCTTATTTTACTTGTTTATATAATTCTGTATTATCTTTTTTAATTATTACATAAAATTCACTATCATTAAGTTAATCATGATTGACATTGATTCCACCTAAGACCTTTACGGACTAGATAACAAAACTCCGCTACGGGCGTAATTTGTTTTGCAATTTTTAAAAACTGCCAAAAGAATTACCATCCAAACTTGGAGGTTATCAAGGGTGCCAGAGAAACCTTAATTGATTTTAAATTAAATTTAAGGGTGTCTTAGCAATACAACAAAATTGTATTTCCTAATTCTTAGCATAAAATCCACAACGATTCAGTGGCACCCTGTATGGTTCCCTTCGGTATTCGATACACCTACAATACTTATTTTTCGGAACTCTTGTTTCGATGAGGTATCAATGCTTTCCCAGAGCAACAATCATACGCTCAAAGATCAACTCTGGCTTCTGCTGCTGTCTCATTACCAAAGAGATATTGCCCTGCAAGTCCTATGATATCCCGGGCAAAAGTACGAAATTCGTAGTTCACCGTCGTTATGGTTGCAATAAATGTAAAGAACTTGAACAGCTTCTGGTGATGTGGCTTCCACTGTCTCCTACCGAAGCCGGTATTGTAGCCGAACATTTGCGACACCATCAGGGCGAGAAATCCAGCCAATCCAAAGAAACGATGGAGTAGTTTCAAGGTCAAGACACCACTACCACCGCCGTTGATGAAATACAGCGGAAGACCGCTGAGAACGCTACCCAGCAAAAGACCACAGCCGAGAATGCCTAATCGGGGATGATATGGGAATAAATTAACATTGTTTTCTGGGGTTTCTTGTTTTGATTGAACGCACCGTAGAAGCCATGATTGCTGCGAAAGTGTCTAACTGTGGCATTTGGATCTTCTCGTTTGCGCTCCAGCTTCTGCAAAGTCTTGATGGCTATGCCACCGACACCGACCAGAAGGGACAACAGGCCCAGGGCAGCGTGTAAGCGGTTGAGGTTCAGTGGTCCCAGCCAGGACTCCAAGGTAATGCTGTTTCGTACAAGTAATGCTTCGCCCATGAAGAAGACAAACTGTAGGAAATAAAATAAAATAAATTAAATAACAAATTTAAAAGAACTGGGCATTATGTTTATTTGGCATGCCAAGGAATACCTTTCTTCTGTTAATGTTAGTTTTTTTTTTCTCAGTGTTAAACGTATAATTGTGAAATAGTATATCTTTTTTTATTGAAAAATATGTACATATGTACATACGTACATACATGTATCTGACTGGCGGATATAAGCAAAAAACTACTCACGGCGATTGTACAATAGAAGGCATGACCCGCCGTGTGCTCCAGCTTCATCACCAGACACTTGTACACCACGGCCACGGTAATGCCCGCTAGTAGAAAGTGCGAGATCAGCGTGCAGAAGCCAAAGTAGAATCCTCCATAGGCGCTGGAGGAGACCGTAGCAGCTCCCTGAATACCCAGCTCGCAGACATCGCCCAGACAGCCATGTAGTAGTTTCTCAGTAGTCATTTTGTTATGTTGGGGAAATCTCCTGCTTATCTGCTACGTGAGATGCGCACGTCGAAGTGATAAAGCTTGTAGGCGCTATAAATTGATTGCGACCACGCTCCGCTCGCTGCGAGTGTTAGAACGCGTTTGACGCTCTGACGGCACCGAACAGCTGGAAGAAACCGCCATCGATCGCTCGCGTTTTTCTCTCCGTGGTGGTGAATTCCGCGTCGAGGCTGAAAATCCCCCTTTCGTGGCTAGTGGAGCGGTTCGATCGCAAGGATGACTCAGCGGATAGCCCCGTTCACGTGTCTTACCTTGGGGCGGGAAAGGCGGCAGCAGCAGTCACAGGTGGTGGTGGCACTGATCGGCATTGCTCTCCGCCAGCTGACTGGGGATTGTGCGAATATTGTTATTTTTGGAGCATTCAAAAACCAGTTTGTATAATTGGCCATGTCAAATGTCCGGAGTTAGTCAATCCCCTTTAATACACTTGGCCAAGGGTATTATCGAAATTATCGAGGGGTGTCAAGAACATTATTTCGTACTTTTAAATTGGAGTTAAATCCATAATTATTAAAATTAAAATGATTGCCTAGAAAAAGAACCAAGCTTTTGGTAGAGGGGTTTGTAAATGCTGCATACTTTTAGGGGTTACTGATCTTGTATCTAAATATTTGTTAGCTTTGCAGATTAAACCATAATTCATAGTAAAATTGCTTGATTGTTTTTTTTATAAAATATATTCTTATCAGAGTGTTCTTATTATATTTCCTAAAAAGTCGAAGAAACCTAATAAAATATAATAATATATACACTACTGGCTGTACATACAGTTATATTTTTTAGAGGAGCTTGAGACCCAGTTTTAGCATCTCATCTTTTCATAAAAAAAAACCTTGTTTAAAAGAGAAAATAATATTCTCTATTCGGCAATTTACAATTTAAATTTATTTTTGGGTATCGTCAACTTAAATTTATTTATTTATTCACTTGAAAACCCTTAGTAATTGTGCTTGTTGTGCATGCCATTAAATGTACTATTTGTTTTGTTAAAAGTTTGTGTATAATCTTCAAAGGGGCAATCTATAAACTCTGTTGTCTTGAACTGAATATTATATTATGCAAATTAATCACTCAGTCACATGGGTGATTACTGATTCCAGGAATATGAATTAATTATAACAGAATATAAAGTTTTTCTAGGAATCGCGTTTTTTAAGATCAGTAAAATGTAAGTCCGTAGGAAAGTGTGAAAGTGTAGAGATTTTTCGTTCTTGAAAAGATTTTGTTTAAATATTAATTATCAAAAATGAACGTGCTACCACTACTAAATATCTTTTACCTGACAACCCTGCAATATAAATGCCTTTTCGATTAGCGCAAAAATCACTTAAAAAGAGAGAATAGTTGGGGAATCACCAGTGTTAATCTGATTTCTCCCATCTTATATACATGTATACACCGCAAACAGAGCGTTCGTTCCTTAGTCATAAATACATTATATACAAACACGCCTCTTTTTCACTGCCATGTGAAATACAGGCGGGGTGACGTCATCTCTGACTACACTGTGGGAGAGCCGCAAAAATAGAGGCAGTCCAAGTTAGAGAGTCAAAACAACAACAGCTGACGCACCTACACAGACAAAAAAGACTCGGAGAGAGTTTATATTTAACTGTTCCATTCAGTTGGCCACAGCATTTTCAGTTGGACGCCTGCATTATTGGCTTAATCAACAAGTTCAAGACCTCTGCTTACTAAGAAACCCAAAAAATATAAACAACACCCATTATTTACCAACTAATATTGGGATTTTTGGGACACTTGAAGCATTTTTTCGGATTTTCCAAATCATGTACGTAAATAATTTTTAAATGACTTTCAGTTCGGCGCAACCGAAATAAATCAAGATCTTAAATTTCTGTGGAAAACACGAAGCGACAGTTATAAGCGATAATAAAAGTGTTAATTATTGAAAAAACCCCACAAAAAATACATACATATGTAGATACATATACAAAAGCAGATATTGTCCACTCCCCGTATAATTTGTCTATTGCCTGACTAAAGTTCTGTGACAAACTCTACAAACAAAACATCGCTCATGAAATTCATTCATGGTAAATCAGATAGACAAAAATTATTTTCCTTTTGTTTTACTCAATATTTTGATAAACACGGAAATTTTGCACCATGATATCATACTTTATATCGTTGCTTAACATGACGAAATAATTAATAATTGAACGAACTTATAAAGTGTGGGTTTGAAATGTATATTAAAGGGTGCATTGTAGTTTAAAAATACGCTGTAACATTTTCAATCATATTCTTGAAAGTGAACATCAGCGAGATTTGTTGTTATTTTGATAACAACATTATTAAATGTCTGTCTAATTTAAAGTCACATTTGCAAGTTCAAAAATCTGTTTTTCAAACTGTATTCATATGTTGCTGGGACATATTTCTGTTTAAAAAATGTCATAAATAAATCTAAAAACTAAGATATTTACATGATATATATTTCGAAAATGGTACAAAAATATCTGTTAATCTAAAATCCATTGTAAAGTTTTCGAAAACCCAAATATTTGAAGATAATATTAGAAATTTTTAATTGCTCCCAATATATAAACCTTAGTGATTGTGTATCATATGTTTATATATGAAAAATAGAGGTTTTGCTAACTTTCCGAAATTATTAAATAAATTAAAAAGGGGTTTTGCTATTTTTTTCGAAATTATCAAATAAATGAAACTATCGCTATTCCATAGCTTATAAAAAAAACTAAGGGGGTTTTAATTATTTTCATACTGTTCGGCTCAATTTATATTTATTTAATTTTACCCCTGAAAAAATTATTTTAATTCGAATTAACCCAGATTCCCATTTGTGAATGATGTTGTCTAGAAGAGCTTGCCTAAGTACAAGTCTGTTGTTGTTTGCCGGCATTTTTTGTTATTGTTTAGGTTTTGTGGGATCGACTCATCATCGATTAGAGTATGTACTCACCCAAGTATATATGTACGTGCACACACATATAGATGAGACCAGACCCTCTCCCTGTATATTATTTGCTTATAATTTTTTATCAGTATTTATTTTTGATGACCGCAACTGAGCCGCTCTGTCGGCGCCGTCGTCGGCCGGCTTACACAAATCCAGTGCTATAACAAAATCCGTGAGCCATTCGACTGAACCAGTCTCAGCTCGGCACTGAGCCCCATCGGTCGTACCGCGCTTGCACATTTTCCGCATCGATCGCCCAGCCAGCCAGGTGTACTAATTTGATTTTATTTGTATTTACTCTTCCTGTTCCCGTTCGACCACGACCACGCCACACCACGCACGCAAAATGCGTCGCGCAGACGCTCTCGCTGTAGCCGTTTGGGCCACTCTTTCGCTGCTGCTAACCATGGACACGGTGAAGGCTGAGGGGTAAGTGAATTTACTATATAGTATACACCTATATAATGCGATAAGTGATCACTCGAGATACACACAGCTGCGGTCAGAATATTAGTCGTGCTTCAAGGATTACTAATCCTCAAATATTTGTATATTTCAACTCGATATAAGCTGCAGTTCGTTGATCTCTGTAATTCCCAAGTGCATGTTCCGCGAACATTGGACATTTCTTAAGCCTGCAGCTTAGACACACATAGCTAACTAACATTTTGTCTATGATTTTCTAAATGGAAAACATTATAGTAATGTTTAATATTTTTATATATAAATCTAATCGTTTTGTTCTCACAATTTATTAAACGAAATATGAACTTATTACAAAAATAACAAACCTAATATTGTGATAGACGCTGTATGAATTTTAGTCACTAATTAATTCAATATGCATATGGGCAGATAGGGCCGATTAACGATCAGTTTCAAGGTAAACTAATCAAGTTGTTTTTCGTTTTAATGGGCAGAACTGAAAATTATTAATTTTATTTGTAATCTTGATTTGACTTGGAGCTAAATAGGTCAGTTTTCAATTGAACTAAATTTGTGTTTAATTAAGGTGCGATAAGGAAACTATTAAAAACAATTAATACACAATGGTACTAGAAACTCTGAGTAAAACATATAATAAATTCATATATTTTATGTACTTGTCTGAAGTTCGTTTTGCCAATTTGATAATAACGTCATCGCTCCTCCACTCGCGTTGCTAATTGAATTTCAATGTAAGCTATTTTTTTGTACAGATTATTATACATTTTATATTGTTTTAGACTTAATTGTGTTTTGGTTAATGAATGCTTCATTAATCTGCGACACGATCGGATATCTCCATAAAAAGCGTGTAGCTAATTACTAGTTAATAGAGGAGAATGTAAAGCCTTGTTTCTGAACACAATTAAGACCTTTAAGAGTGAGAATAATCCAATCGAAATTTCTCTGTGCGAAATTAGGATGGAACCAAGCTCCAAGTTAACAAAGAGTTGTTATTCATCGTAAACAAATAGTGATGATCAAGTACACAGAATATATTTGGTGTACGTGTTCGGGGACTGTAAGTGCGAAAAATATGGCTGCTCGGATTTTATATAATCTCTGATCCGGTTTTGACATTTTCGAGGCAGATCAGATCAGGTTCCCGGAATATTTTTACCGTTATCTCCAGGGCTATAATAAATTCATGTATAAATACATAAAAAAAAATGAATGTCGAAAAAAACAACAAAAAACAAAGCGAAAAACATAAAAACTTTAACAGAATTTCTTAATGCGCTGCGAAGAATTGATAATGCAAAGTTCATAGGCTAAGTAATAAAGTTTTTTTCGGAATCTTTAGCTCAAAATATGAGTTTCCAAATCGGTCTTAGTAACAAGTACTTAATAATTTAATTGAAATAATTCCAATTGCAGTAAATACACCATTGTGGGCCCCGGAACCATCCACTCGCATCGTGACTACAATGTGGCAGTGGCTGTTCACCAGACCAAGGAACCCGTCACCCTAAAGGTGGGCATCACAGGACCCTCCTACAACGAGACGCAGACTGTGGAGCTGGCCAAATCCGATGAGTTCAAGCAGATTACCTTTAAGCTGCCACCTCTGGAGTCCGGCGAATACAATCTAACGGCCGAGGGAGTGAAGGGACTGGAGTTCAAGAACTCCACCAAGCTCAACTGGGAGAACTTCAAGCCGTACATTAAAATCCAGACGGACAAGGGAAAGTACAAGCCCGGCGACACAATCAACTACCGTGTGATCTTCCTGAATGAGAACTTGCTTCCGGACACAGCCGCCGACGAGGTGGTGGTGTGGTTTGAGGACTCCAAGCGCAACCGCATCAAGCAGGAGAAACACATCAAGACCACTGGTGGTGTATACACCGGCAAATTCGAGCTCTCCGAGTTCGCCACTCTTGGCTCCTGGTCTCTGCAGGTCCAGAATGGCGAACAGCAGTCGTTTGATGGCGGTATACATCGTCCTAGGCCCTTTGGAGGCTTTGGTCACTTCTGGCGTCGCTCCGACGAACGTGTCAATTTCGAGGTGGAGAAGTACGTCCTGCCCAAGTACTCGGTCAAAATG